TGTCACTGAGGAAAACAATTGCCCCCAGAGGCAGAATAGTGACTTGTTTCCCTTTCAGAGAAGTCTTCAAGTCTACATAGTTTACCTCCACCCAAATTGTTAATAAAAGAGGAATATTTGCCCCCACATGAAAAAAAATCAGTCTTCCTCCTATGAGTCCATGTACTTCACTATCTCTATACCTTTGTCCATACCATTCTCTATGCCCAGAATGCACCTCTATCACCAAATCAGTAGAAATCTTATTTATTCTTTTAGACCCTGTACAACAAATGTCACCTCTTCCAAGATGGCTTCCCAGATGCCCTCACTTGGAAATGATTATTTCATTAACAGGCCTCAAATAGCACTTTGTGAAAACTTCTATTTCCTATATACCAGCTGCTTATATGTTAGAGTGATTGACTCTAAAAAGGCAGGGCCCATGCTGTACTTGATTGCTTCTGTCACTGCACAGGCTCTCCATAGAATGGGTGCTCTTTTGGGTTAAACTAACCAAGAAGAGTTACTAGGAGTAGCTCCATCCTCTGGCTCTTGGCGAGCCCCAGAGCTGCCCCTCCTTCAGCCCTTGAATGGTGGCAATGAATGCAGACTGCTGGCAGTCACCGGGCTTCTTTTTGCTCATTTTCCCCAGGCACTTACTCCATAGGCAAAGTCCCACCCCCACCCCCACCCCGAAACACAAGTCCTGTGGGAAGAGCCATGTATAGAGGGCACTATTGGACCAGGCAACTTCCTCCATTTGCCTCCACAGAGATCTGTCCCCTCACAAGGGTCCTGGGAAGCAGTCAGCGGGATGACTGATGCTTCTCAGACGAATGCTCTACTCCCACTCCATTGCAAGATTTAACTTAGCCAGGACACAGTTACTGCATACCCATTTCTCCCCTGCCAATGCAACACTGCTCCCCAAAGATAGTTTCCCTTCACTCCTACCCAGATTTCCCCTCTCGATGGCCCCTACATTCCCAAGAAGAGCAAAAATGAAATGGCTTGAGAGAGTCTTCGCCTAGAGGCCAAAGCCCAGCCGGGACCCGCCCACCCCACACATATTTCTTTTACCCATCCTTGAATTCAGTGGGGTGGTGACCGGGAGGAAAGGCTTCATTTGTCGTCTCTCAGCTCTCAGGCTCAGCCAGACCCCCACTTTGGAACTTCTTCCATCCCTCTTCGCTTGTGTTAGAAATACCCATTTCCGTTGTTGTACACATATCTTGGCTCTGGAAAAGTGTTCAGCAAGCTCACCCTCCTGCATCGTCCAGCCACTGAGCTTGGCTCCAGGCTCCCACTCAGCTTTCCGACCAGGAGCCTGGAGCCCAGACCACGCAGCCCTTCCCTCCCCGCTCCCATTTGCTATAGGAGCTCCCTCGCTCTCTCGGTGATCAGTTGAGCTCAAAGCTTGATTTGCCTCCTGGCTAGTGAAGTTTAAAATCTGTGGGCGGGAGGGCAGTGGGGGGTGGGGGGTGGAACAGAGAAATAGTCCAGAACCGAAGAAAGCAGGGACTGGAGCTCAGGTTGGACTTTCCCCACTTTCAGTCTTCGGGGATCTTCTACTTGTGCCTCCAGTACTTGGATGGATCAAAGGAATCAGCTCAACTTTTGGTTTCTTTTTCCCAGAAATATCTATGCTTTCTAGCAGAGCAGGCTGACAGTTCGCTCCTTGACCTGATCATCCACCTCATCCTACAGGTGGCCCCAATCAGGGACAAATTCCAGGCTCTTTACTGGGATTCAGGCAATGCCACCTTCAGAACCCACATTCTTTACAAAAATAGGAAGAACAGGCAAATAAGGAAAGTAAACCAGAAAACTGCCCTCTCCCACCTCTGGTTATGTATGGCTCCTAAACTTCCTTGAATTTCTCCGCTGTTCTGAATAACTGGAGGAGTCTCTGTTACCGCTGCTCTTGCTGCCTATTTGACTAACCGATTGAATGAACCAACGAGCAAACGAACAGACGGACTAATACCTTTCTTCTGGTGATAACAAGCTTTGTGGTGTTAAGAAACCCAACTGAGGGGCAACTAGGTGGCTCAGTGTAGAGAGCGCCGGCCCTGCAGTCAGGACAACCCGAGTTCAAATCCGACCTCAGACCAAACACTTGACGCTAGCGGTGTGACCCCGGGCAAATCGCTTAACCCCAATTGCCTTAGAAACAACAACAAAAAAACCCACCTGACCACACAAAGTTTCATTTTTTTTATCGAAAAAGGAAGGAGAATGAACTTGGTGATTTCTGGGGACCATTTTTTAAGTCAGATATCCCATGATTTCAGTGAGTAGGGCGACTTTGGGTATGTAACATTGTAAAGAATGGGGCTCCAAGTCTGGAGGTTATCTTTTTGTCTCTGCATCCTAGGGATCTAGTCTGTCTGGGAGTTGCCAACTTTGAGAGAATAAACTGCATCCTCCTGGGTTTGCAAGATGGAGTCTGTGTTTGCAAATTGAAATCCTCTAACACCAGGAAAAACTAATCGGCTGCTCAGCCTCTCGGCATCTTGCTACCCCAAAGCCAGTTAGCTAACCCTGACATTAACTAAAGCCCAATGGGATAAAATGTCCCTCTGCCCCTCTTCCATAACCTCCTCCCACAGGTGAGCTTATCTTTGTTTTCTTTTACTTTCCAGTCTCTCTATGTCTAGTGTACAACTGACAGTCAAATACATTCTGAAAGTATGACGTTTCAGAATCCCTTTGGTTGACTGGTCTCTATCCTCATATTGAGGAAAATAAGTCTCTTTTCTTTTAAGGAACAACTTCCTTTTTCTATCTCTCGAACTGAGGGTATTCAACAATGAAGCAAGCTCAAGTTGGTAGCATAAAAGTCTTTCCTCATCCACTTTTAATCCATTCTCCTAGTGGTGCAATGGATAGAGCTACAGGCAACTTGCCTTCTGACCTAGCACTGGAGGCCTAACATTTGGCCGCCTGTGTTCCTGGCCTGCTGAGCAAGGATGGAGGGATTTTGGTTGCTGCTCTGTGGTGTGGCTATGAGCCTCCAGTTGGCTTGCCTGGACACAGTCTGGGCTGGGCTGCACTTCCCTTTAGCCCAAATGAAACAGACCTTTCCTGAAATCATTCTAACTTAAGGTGGAAAATTGTTTCACTTCATCTTTTTATAGGTTCTGTCAATCTAGAACCCATTTAGAGGCTTGATTTGTGGTTGTTTCTGAGGGAAAATAGGGAGTGCTCAGGCAACTCCCTGGCTGCTCTCTAACATCTTGGCTCTGCCCCAATACGGGTCTTCAAAATAATTGATGAGAACAGGAAGCTGTTTCTGGCTAAATACTGTTTGTTTCCTTTTCATTGAGGCAGGACCTTGTTAAAGGAGAAAAGGAAAGAAAGGTTTTGGAGGGTGACAGGAGCATTTCCTCTATTAGAGCAAGGATTTTGTTTTTAGGCAATTAAAATCTTTATTGAAAACAAGATTTTCCCATACAACATTTTTACAAGAAAAAATAAAACAACTGGAAATGTTCACAGAACTCAACCTGGTTTACTAAATGATAAATCAAGAGTGTAGGAAAAGGAGTTCAACCAATTCCCAGATCTAGGATGCCATTATTAAATAAAGTATTAGTGACAAAACAAAGGTATTTTAGAATTTTAAATGCAGGAAATCTATAAGCCAATAAAAACATGGAAAGAAAATTCTGACCAAACTAAAGCCAGAATGACCCTTAAAGTTTGAATGAGCCCCTTTTTTAATAATTAAGCAAATAAAATGTATTACTAGATGTATTTCTCCATGAACTTTTTGTGAAATTCTGATTGAAAGGTATCATTTACAAATCTTTTGTCCCTTTTTAGCTCATCTACTCCTTTGGCACAGTTCTTAAAGACCGCAGCAGCATCCCACCTTCTCTTTACTTTGAAGTTGGCCTAAGGCTGAGAGGGACCAGTGAGATTAAGAAGAGGGTTTCCCCTGAGGATATTTTCCAACCAAATTCTCTCTTCTTCAGCCTTTTGTTCTTGTCTCTTCTGGGCTTGTTCTTCAACCCTTTGTTGTTGTTCCCCCCCCCTCCAGTTCTGCCAGTAGAGCAACACTTTCTTCCTCAAAATCCTAGTCTTCATCATCTTTATCTGTTAGGGAATCATCTGCATCAAGGTTCGCTGAAGGAATCTGATCTGAGGTTTGTTAGACACAGAAGATGAGGTTGCATGCTCTCTAGTCAGACCATCTCTATGTCTTTCTCTTGCAACAACTCTCTCTCTTCTAGTTCTCTACAGAAATCACAGTCGCTCACCTTTTCAGGAGCATCCTTAGTAGTTTGTCTGTATTTGATCTTTGTGTAAGAAGGTAGATCTCTGTTTGAATATTGTTTGGAAAGCTGACTCAAATCATCTTCCCTTTTTCCTCTTCCACCTCTTGCAGGTTGAAATGTAGACCCTGTTGTCCTCTTCAGCAGCACAAAGAAACCAAGTTTGCATTCCCTCCCTTTCTGTTGGGAAAAGTGACTCCTAAGAAGGGTGGGCCTCTTATCTAAGTACTCAGGAAAAGTAGGTGTGAATTCAGACTTCAATTGTAATTCCTGCCTCCCCCAGCAACTGAAACAACAGTTTGCTAGAAGGAAAATTGATATTGGCTAAAATAACCTAAATAAGCCTGCTAAAGAAGGCTATAAGAGGCTAAAACTATAAAGCATGGAGAAGGTGCTAACTCATTTTATAAATTAGAAGGAACTTCATCTGGGACTTCCCTAGATCAGTGAATTCACAAGTCCAGTCTCATACCTACAATTTTGAAGCCCTGTTTTACAAGGCTGGCAGCTGAGTAAAGAGGGCTGGTGTGGGGAGAAAGACAAGGCTTCCTTCACCTTCAATGCCACCAGACTCTAACCTGATGGCCCTAAGATGGCAAGGCACTCTCTCTCCTGAATTCCTCTTTCCTTCTCTTTGCATTTTCCCCCAACTCAACCCCAAGAGAATGTGAACAACCTTAGCTTTTGTTCTCAATTCAATAGAATACACAATACTTAAGTGACTGGGGTTTTGGTTTTTTTTTTTTTAAATGCTTCACGAATTTGCATGTCATCCTTTTGCTGGGGCCATGCTAATCTCCTTATTCTTCCAACTTTAGTATATGTGCTGCTCAGATTTGCATTTCTCTAATCAATAGTGATTTAGAACATTTTTTCACATGACTATAGATAGTTTTAATTTCTTAATCTGAAAACTGCCTGTTCATATCCTTTGACCATTTCTCAACTGGGGAATGACTTGTATTCTTATAAATTTGACTCAGTTCTCTGTATATTATAGAGATGATGCCTTTATCAGAGACACTGGCTGTAAAAATTATTTCTCAGCTTTATGCTTCCATTCTAATCTTGGGTGTATTGTCTTTGTTTGTGCAAAAACTTTTAAATTTAATGTAATCAAAATTATGCATTTTGCATTTCACAATGTTCTCTATCTCTTGTTTGGTCATAAATTCTTCTGTTCTGCATAGATCTGACCGATAAACTATTCTTTGCTCTTCTAATTTGCTTATAATATCACCCTTTATGTCTAAATCATGTACCCATTTTGACCTTATCTTGGTATATGATGTAAGATGTTGGTCTATGCCTAGTTTCTGCCATAATATTTTCCAGTTTTCCCAGTAGTTTTTGTCAAATGGTGAGTTCCTATCCCAGAAGCTAGTCTTTGGGTTTATCAAACAATAGATCACTATAGTCATTGACTACTGTGTCTTGTGTACCTAACCTATTCCACTGATCCACCACTATTTTTTAGCTGGTACCAATAGTTTTGATGATTGCTGCTTTATAATACAGTTTTGATTTAGTATGGCTAGGCCACCTTCCTTGGCATTTCTTATCATTAGTTCCCTTGATATTCTGGACCTTTTCTTCTTCCTTTTGAATTTTATTATTTTTTCTAGCTCTATAAAATAATTTTTGGTAGTTTGATTGATATGGCACTGAATAAGTAAATTAATTTAGGTAGAATTGTCATTTTTATTATATTAGCTTGGCCTAGCTATGGGTTGTTCACATTCTCTTGTGGGTCAGTTGCGGGGTGGGAAGAATGCAAAGATAAGGAATGATAAATTTCAGTAGGAAGAGTGCCTGGCCATCTTAGGACCAGCAGCTTAGGGTCTGGTGGCATTGAAGCTGAAGGAAGTCTTGTTTTTTTCTCCACACCAGCCCTCTTCATTCAGCTGCCAGCCTTGTAAAAGAAGGCTTTAGAATTGTAGGGATGGAAGTGGACTTGTGAATTCATTGGTCTAGTGAAGTCCCCGGATGAAGAGATTTCTTCTAACTAATAAGATGAGTTAGCACCTTCTCTGTACTTTATAGTTTTATCCTCTTATAAACTTTCTGTTACTCAATTTATTTAGGTTCTTTTGGCCAATTCAACTCTCCTACCATTAAATTGTTGTTTTGGTTGGGGGCGGGGTGAGATTCCAGTTGAAGTCTGAGTCCAGCCTGCTCTTCCTGAGTACTTAGGTAAGAGGCTCCACCCTTCAATGACAGTCCTTTGTAGGAGGTCTTTTTTCCTATGTAAATGGAGGGAATGTAAACTCCTACAAGAAAGAACTGGTTAAAGGTGGGAGGATTTTTAAAGGAGGGTGCCATCTATCCTTAGGTTTGAATTCAGTGTCTTGCCTTTAGCGATAAATGCACCCTTGAAGGAGCTTAAGTGACCTTCAAAACACTGGAAGCAAAAAACCAATAGATTGTCAAAGGCGAAGAAGACGGCCTTAGGTTAAGGTGAGTTGGAGCTGCTCCTACTTGCACTGGCAAGGCTGTGGCTGCCGCCACTTCCAAGATGGCAACATCTCTAGGCTCCAACACCTGCAACAGGCAGAACTGGGAGGATTCGGACTTCCCTATTCTGTGTCAGACGTGCCTTGGAGAAAACCCCTACATCCGGATGACCAAAGAAAAGTATGGAAAAGAATGCAAAATTTGTGCCAGGCCGTTCACAGTGTTGCGCTGGTGCCCTGGTTTTCGCATGCGTTTTAAGAAGACTGAAGCGTGCCAAACCTGCAGCAAGCTAAAAAATGTATGTCAGACCTGCCTTTTAGACCTAGAATATGGCTTACCTATTCAGGTCCGTGATGCAGGACTATCCTTTAAGGATGATATGCCTAAATCTGATGTGAACAAAGAATTCTACACCCAAAATGCTGAACGAGAGATTTCTAACTCTGATGGAAGTCAACCAGTTGGTGTTCTTGGGAAGGCTACAACTGCAAGTGACATGCTGCTCAAATTGGCTTGGACAACTCCTTACTACAAACGCAATCGTCCTCAAGTTTGTTCCTTTTGGGTGAAAGGAGAATGCAAAAGAGGAGAGGAATGTCCCTACAGACATGAGAAGCCTACAGACCCTGACGATCCTCTTGCTGATCAGAACACCAAAGATCGATACTACGGTATTAATGATCCTGTGGCAGAAAAGATTCTAAAGCAGGCTTCAACAATGCATCACCTGGCCCCTCCAGATGATAAGACTATTACCACTCTATATATTGGTGGCCTGGGATATACAGTCAGTGAGACGGATCTCAGAAATCACTTTTACCAGTTTGGTGAGATTCGAACGATAACAGTTAAACAGAGACAGCAGTGCGCTTTCATCCAGTTTGCTACAAGGCAAGCTGCAGAGATGGCTGCCGAGAAGTCCTTCAACAAACTGATTGTAAATGGATGCAGGCTTCATGGGAAATGGGGAAGATCTCAGGCAGCCAGAGGAAAAGAAAAGGAAAAAGAAGGAACTACAGACTCTGGAATTAAGCTGGTACCTGTCCCAGGACTTCCCAGAGCTCTTCCTCCTCCTCCAGCAGCTGAAGAAGCCTTTACCAATTATTTTAATCTCACTCCCAAGTGTTCCTCCAGTATTGATGAATATTGCCCTGCCCCCTCCTTCTGGGATTGTACCTCCTCACCCACCAGGTTTTGGATCACACAAATGCCACTCAATGGCACCACTACCTCCTTTCATGGAAACTCCAGGACCCATCTACTATCCTTCTCAGGATCCCATGAGGATGGGGGCTCATGCAGGAAAGCCCAGCGGTCCCTAACATCCTGCTAGAGTGACTAGGTTCTGAGGAAGAAAGGAGCTTTTGAAACAGAATAAATAAATCTTTGAGTAATTTTTTTCCTTTAAGTTTCCATGGTAGCATATAACGTACTGAGATACTGCCAGAGAGCTGGAACCCCCCCCCCCCCCCCAGCACAGGGCAGGTAGAGGAGCCTTGCTAAACTGATATTAACAAAAATGGTCACTAGTGTAACAATGTCCTTTGCTTCTTAAACGGTACAGGAAAAAAGAAGGTCAGGGTGAGTGTGGAGCTTCTGAGAACCTTTAAGGGAGTTGTAATTCTCATTTTGTATTTTTGTATGTAAGTTTTGTACATTTGTATGTATTTTTCTGTGTGTTTGGGGTTTCACAAACTTTGACCTGGAGTGAAAGCAATTGTTTGACAATATTTTTAAAATAATTCTTTTTCTAGTAGTAGTCATTAAGAAGAATCAGTAAGTATTATTTCCCTATTACCCAAGGTCAAAATTTGAAAATCAAACACCCCTAGATACTTTCTTTCATCTTTTGTCCTCCTTTTGCTAAAGGAAACTCTGCCAAGGAAACTAAACCAACTTCTTTTCAGTCTTAAGAAAACTCCTGTTTATGTTCTGCCATCCAAAGTGACCCATCTCTTCACAAAACTTTGGGGCCTGCATTGCAAGCTCATGCGTCCTCACATGAGGGAGATGTTAACCTTTCTAAGTATGACATGAACAAACCTTTTATTTTGTTTGCATAGCTTATCTGTGACTTATGGAAGGGTTTTTGTTTAACTTGCACCTTCATGTGTTTCTATCTAATTTTCTGCTGCCGCAAAGGAGACTGTCTTACTTTTCTCATTATAGAAATGTTGCTTGGTTGTGACTGAACTGTAGATAATGAAAAAGGTAAGAATTGTAGATAAATAAAAAGGAAATGAGACCTGTTCTAAGTTTTAGAATTAAAAAAAGCAATTAAAACAGACCAGTTTTCCCAAAACAAGCAAACAAGAAAGATTACAGGAGCAAAGAAGCTGGGCTTAAATTAATGGGAGGCTGTGGTGCTGCATGGCTGAGCCAGGACCTTTGGAAGGGCTTATCAAACTCAAGTACCTGTCCCTGGTATCCAAAGTGTTCAATCTGGACAACCGCCTAGGGATCAACATAGGTGGTACCGAATTCTTTTATAAGTCACTAGTTACGTCTCATACAGATCATGCAGCCCCCAGCAGAGCCTTCTGCTGACAAAGACCCAGTTGTTAAGCCAAAGACAGAAAAGGACAAGTTCCAGGACCTGTTCCCACCACTTTGCTGACCAGACAATCCTATAGTCTGGATCATGCTTGATGGAGATGATGTGAAAGTAGCTATGGATATCCTCAAAGAGCTACAAGCTCTAATGCCTAGTGCTGCAGCACACAAGAAGCAGAGAGGCTCTGAGCACTGTGATACAGCAAAGAAGAAAAGCAGTAGGAGTCAGAGTTGAAGCCAAGACAGAGACCACAAATGGAGATATCAATCCCTATCAAGGTCATATTCTAGGACTTGAGATAGGAATAAAGGGAACTTTGTGTAGCAATCTAGGAGCAGAAGTCAAAGTCCTATCAAAGACCATGAGGACTGTGTTAAATATGGGGAGAAGAATAATGACATGTGACAAGACAAACAAGTGGACCCACCTCCTGAAGAGCTTTCTATGGAGGAAATGTACAATGGCAAAGTTACCAGTATCATGCAGTTTGGATGTTTTCTGCAACTGAAAGGACTAAGGAAATAGTGGGAAGGTTTAGTTCACATCTCTGGATTTCAATGGGAAGACTGAGTGGTCAATGTAGTGAGCAAAGACCAGAGCGTTAAAGTAAAAGTCCTGTTTTGGTCACTGGGACCAAAACCAGCCTGAGCATGAAGGATATGGATCAGGATACTGAGACCTCTATGAGGAACCCTGATAAACCTGCTCACCTCTCCTTCATCAGTGCCCCAGAAGTGGTAGATGACACTCTTGAAATGAAACTCCTCACCCTAATCTCAGATCCTGAGAAGTGGGAGCTCAAACAGATGATTGCAGTCAATGTACTTTCCCAAA